AAAAAATATTTTTGGAAAATAGCCGATTTTTAACAAAAAAACCAAGTTAAAAAATAAGGAAGATCTTCACTGATTGGCTTTATCCTAGTTCATACGATAGCTATACACTCACAGAGAAACGTGTAAAAATTTGGAATCGATTGGGTTATTAGTTTTTGAGTTATCGTGCCCGCCATTCGCAAAAGAGAAAAACGCGTTTAAAGTTTGAGAACCCCTTTAGCCGTCACTTGATGCTGACACAATAAATCGACTATATTGTCAAGAGGTCTTGAGATTTTTACTTGAAATTTTGTAGGGACATTCTTGAATTAGTGTAGATTCCAATTAAATCAGAAAAAAAATTGACTCCGAGAATGGGGGGTCCCCTTAACTAGATCTTATCGTTAACTTAGTTCCATTAGCCATAGTGTAACATTTTGATTCAAAACAGTAGTCAACAGATCCGCTTTTCAACTATATACAATTATATGCATATAGTTGAGTCAAGGTAAAAAAAAACTACACTGATCTTAATGCATTTTTAATGAACAAAAAAGAGAACGAATGTACCAATAAACAATTGAACTCAAATGAAATATAAAGATAGGCTGCTTCAGGAACGATATTGCCTAACTCTACAAATTACCGATATTTCGATTTGGAAATTGTGACTACAGCCTCAAAATACATAATTTAATGCAGCTCCGTTTATTGGTGGTTAAATAAAATAATGTTTGCGGAAATGACAAAATTTGGCTGGTACCTCTAACGAATTGAAAAGGAGTCTGCCAAAGTGGGACTGTCCGTAAATTGCGAGAAGACAGAGCTGATGGTATCAACGCGCAAGATAACAAGTAGACTTGGATCAACTATGGATCTTGAAAACTACAGCTTCGAGGTAGGTAGTGAGTACTTGCGCAAGCAAATGAGGCAGCTCTTAGAGTGTTTGAGAGAAAAATTCTCCGGAAGATCTATGGGTTGATCTGCATTGACGGTGAATATCGTCGTCGAATGAACCATGAGCTATACCATCTATTCTCGGACATCGACATAGTCAAACGTATGGAGATGCAGCGACTACGTTGGCTAGGCCGATGGGCAAGTAGAAGACAAAATCTCGGAAAATGGTCTTTCAAATTGGATGCGCACAAGACCGACGCGATTGGAAATCTTCTAGAGTTCGGCTTAAGCCAGCTAAGTAAGGCCAGTTATGTATCAATCGTCACGAATTTTTTTTGTTATGATCCGTTAATATTAAGGGGATCAAATGGAACAAAAACTTTACTTCAACTTTGTCTTCTGGTCGCTCTAGAGGCCACAATTATGACACGAACACCATGGATTTACACCAGGAAGGGGATTTGGCCAAAGATCGGTCAATATTTAGCGTGTCAAATTGACCCAGACTTTTGTGTGAAACTGACAAAATTTGTATTCTGAGGCGTATATATTTACTCCTAAAGGACATAGACCCGAGAAGTTGATAGTATATCCATGAAAAGTTGTTGATCTTAAAATCGATACAAATTTTATTGTTTTATGTACTCGGATGTTGGTATTATACAGAAATATTGAAAGGCGCCCCCTAGAGGGCGGAAATATCGCGTTAATCACTTTGAAATTTTACATGAAGTTCCGGTTATGATCAAGGACGACGCATATAATTATCGGTGATGTTGAGATGATATTTAGGGAGTGCAATGAATCTAAAACATTATTTTTGTCAGCTTTTTTAGTTCCAGAAGACCATTATTATATGCAGAACCTCACATATTTTACACGGTAAAGGGGATCTGACAAAATACTTAGAACGGCTGTTTAGATGCTGATCGGTCAATATTCCATGGATCTAATCAACCAAAACTTGAAGTGACCAAATTTGTTTTTTATGTTGTAAATATTCACCACGGGAAAACAAGATTAGGAAAATTTTCCAGGGTAAGAACGTGGAGCTGTTGACCTTTAATCCGCCCAGGCTCAGAATATAGAAACGCAGAAAGTTAGATTTTCGTGGTAATTGTGTAGAAAAATTCCTGAAATCGTTGCCTATATGGGCCGATATCTATTAGTTTCAAACAAAAATTTTGCTCACGAGTACACATCGCTTATTTTCTGTATAAAAAAAAACAAAGTGCCTATTTTGGTTTATTAACACTAAACAGTCCAATTCAAAATTCAAAAAAATATTCTAAGTATTTTATTCGACGATAACCAAAATTGAAAGTTTTTTTTTTAATTTATAGCGGAAACTGTAACAAAATTGTCGTGTCAAACCACGTTAGAAGAATGCATGGGCGGATGATAAACACTTTTGATTTCAAATCTTGTTTGAAAATAACACCAATTCTAACAAATAATGACACCCTTTTTAAGAGAACATTAGCCACACAAAACCAATACATAAAGAAGAACACAGAAAAATCTAAATTTAACTTCTCCGCTCTTAATCTCAGTTTAAAAGTAAATAAAACAAAGCTTAAACATCCGATAAATCATTCAAACTAATTGCGGTTACGGTAGCCGTTTCAGTTCACACCATAAATCACAAATGGCTTAAAAAAACTGTAACAGCTTAGGCATAACCGGAAATGTGCGTCAATCATTGCGGTACACGGGGTGTCATTAGATTTTGTTTTTTGTTGCCATGGTTCATAAATGATTTATAAAACAAAACAAAAAAAACAAATTCTATTAAACATTTTTTATTTCCTATGGAAAACGAAAACTAGAATTGACGACAAAAATAATGACAATGATGATGGCGATGGCGATGAATTAATAACCCTTAGCTAGGAAGTTAAAGTTTAAAGAACTGGGTCATTACCGGTTATGAAAAGTGATTATTGGCTTAAATTATTATTTGATCAGATTGATATGCTTAGCCATGATTTTATGTTTAACAGGTGTCTTTCCTTGCTCTGTGTGTATGCATTGGGAGGTAGGCCGACAGTCGTCATCTGCCAATGCTCTGATTTGAAAATAATTATTTTTCCAATTATTTCTACTATTATTGTTGTAATCTAATGTGTGTGTGTTTTTGTTTACAACATGCATAAGTGTAAAAATATGAATTTGTTTACTTGTCTGCGTCTGTGTGTGCATTTAAAATTATTATTCATATGTTAATTGCCACTTTTGTTTTTATTAACTTAGCCAGCCAGCCAGTCAGTCAGCTAACCAAACATTTGTTTTTATTTCGTGCATTTGCATTAATGACTTGTTTAATATATTTTACTTTGTTTTTTAGTATTTTCGTTGTTGGTTTTTAACGTTATTTTTGTAATTCTCTCCCAATTCAAATTAAATCTTGCGATGAAAAATCCCCCTCAGCTACAAAAAAGCGGCAGCAACAATTGTGGGTGATTCATTAGCCAGAGTTAATTGAGTTTGTTTCCTAGGCATTGGTGTTGTTGGCTTACAAATATTTCGAGCTTTCGAGCAGAAAATATAAATTACATGAATGGTTATTACAATGGGCGTAATAAGCGACAGTGATTTATATATATGTGTGGTAAAAATTTGTGTGCACTTGTTGCAGAAAAAAAAATTATTTAATTCGAATACTGGTAACGACATATTATTTAGTCTAAACGACCATATTTTAATACCCGCCATATTGATCTATGCATTCAACATTTCTTAAATCGATCAGGTTAAAAATCAGGGCTGAGAATTTCAAAATATCGAAATTCGGCCTATACCCTTTATGAGGGGACATGGACTTATATTGAAAATGTACTGTTAAGAATTAGTTTACCTACGAAGAACATTGAATTGCATTCATTTCGGTTGGAAATGCGACAAGGTTCATCAAAATACTTAAAATGAGGCAAAACGTGGACCTATTTTCTGTTAAGACAGCGATATGTCCTTCACCATTCAAGAATTCGGAAAATACGAAAAAAGCATTCAAAATATCGAAAATGAGTGCCAACAACCCTCGAAATATCTAAAATTGGGCTGGACCTACATCGATCATCACGAGGCAGGCTTCAAAACTCCGAAATGTGAAATAATAACATTTTCGGTAAGCTACAAGCCTTAAAATATAGAAAATTGAATGGGACCTTTATGTTGAGGCTATGTCTAAATATGGATCTATATTGATAACTTTCGGCCACTATATTGATGTATGTCAGCCAGTGAGAACTGGGAATGTCAAATTACAACCCTTATGGTTTAAAAATGCTGCTAAAACCTTCGAAATACCGAAAATAGATGAATACAGTTATATGGGAGCTATACGAAAACGTAGAACTATATCGACAATAACTTATAACGTAACATGGACCCATGTTAATAATGAAGATTTGGCACCCAACAGAAACATTAAACCTTTAAAAAAAGAAACGAAACGTTGATCGATATATCACACCTAAAATATTGGCAGCTGTACCGTGATTTTTACTCACTGGCGGACGGACAAGGCTAAATCAACATAAATTATATTCTGATCAAAATGCTACATTTATACGGGTGATACGTCCAAACATGCGACGTCTCGAAACGCCAAATTACAACGACGTTCGCTTGGAAAATGCGGGTAAAATCTTCAAAATGCCGAAAATGGGTCAGTATAGTTATATAAGGGGCAATACCAAAACTTACACCTATACCATGAATTTACTGAGAAGATGTTTCTGCAAATATGTTTGCCTTGCAGAAACCCGGAATGCCAAAAAACTGTATCTTGGCTTGAGTAAAAAACGTATAAGGTTCCAGATTTCATTGTTCTGAAATCTAGAATTAATTCTTTTTCAAGGAATTCGTTTCCAGAAAAACAATTTTTTCCTACTATTTAACGTTACTTCAACTAAACCACTGTGCAATTTCCGATAGATTTCGTGAATGTTTAACATGCAAAGTTACGCCCCGCATTGCTACAATTTGAAATTTGGAACCCCCTTCGCAAAATTAGAGCCTAGAATTTATCTTAATTTAAATCCCACCATTTTGCTTTAGCTGCTGTTCGGTGTAGCTGCGATGTGATGCGTGTGAGACAATTGTCTGCCAGTCAACGCCTACCGCCAGGGTATCTTAATTGGTGAACGAGAACGCCTCTGTGTAGGCACCACAAAACGTGTTTGGTGGTTCTGGTGCTGTTTGGAATATGACGATGAGGTAATACCACTACCACCAGTGGCTGGTGCATGGGAAGATGTCGATCGTGATTGGCTTGGTGTTCTGCTGGTGGCAAGGTTTGTTGTTGTTGCTGCCGCTGCCACATTTGACGTTTGATATTTTGAATTATAAACAGGTGTTGTTGTTGTCGATGCATTCTTGTGACCAACATAGCCCCGATATACTGGCGATTGCAAAGTTCTCTTTGAGGTCAATGGTGAGTTATTGCTGTTGTTGTTGTTATAATGGTGATTATCTCCAAAATATGTTTGCCTCAATGGTTGAGCTTTGCCGTTCACCTGAGTACTATACGAACTGACATAACGTTTGGCAAACGACGGCGAAGAATTGCTGGTGGGTATTCCGGTATTACCTCCCAGTTGTATGCGAGTGGAAAGCCGACTTGGCCGTGTGGTTAAGGCCACTGGCTGTTGCAATTTACTGCCACCGATGTTGCTGTTATCATTTTTAATTTGGACCAATGTTTGATAACGACCACCCGTTGTTGTGGTCGTCGTCGTGGTCAGTGTGGGTCTTGAGGGTGAACGTGATAGCGGTGTTTTGGACCAATTCCTTTGTGGTGATCCATTGAGGCGAGTATTGGAGGTCTTTATCGTATATGAGGTGTTCATTATGGGTTCGATGCGATTATATTGTGCAGTTTGGGATGGCATTGGCTTGGCAACCCCCACAGGCACCATGCGTCCTGGCACATGCGGAGTAATCGAATTGCGGAACTCTATACGTATCGAGGGTGTACTGCTGTTGTCATCAGTCTTTCTGGAGTTCGTTGTGGAACGTTCAACCTTAAAGGTGTCGGTGCGTTTGACTGGTGATCGGGTGGCAGAACGTTGTTGTTGCCGTCGGGAACTTAAATCTCGTATCGGTGATCGGGATCCGGGTCTATAGTTGTCATTTTCAAATACCAAAAAATCAGTACGATTTTCTTTGGATAAACTACGTTCACGATGATTTTTCTGGGAATTGTCCTCGGGTGGCTCTACCTCTACAAACCATGCCGGATTGTGAGGGGCCTCTTTTTGCTGTTGCAGAAATTTGTCACGAAATGATTTACGAAAGCTATTAATGGTCACGGTTTTATATTTATCTGCCTCGTTTAGGTTTTCAAACCCGCTATATTTTCGATAATCATCTTCGTCCTCTTCGTTATTATCCTTGACATCATTTTCTGGTAGATTTTGACTTTGCTTCAGTTGTTCCAATTGCTTCTTTAATTCCTTGGGCATTTTTCCCTTACGATAGGTGGAGGAATCAAATGTGCCATTTGTGGTTTTATTGCCATAACTGGGAGTGTTGTTGCTACCGCGTTCATTGCCAGATGTTTGTCCCATTGCTGTTGAGCCATTCGAGGTGGAGCCGCCATTATGCAATGACTTCAAACTTGTCTGATCGTAGAGAAAATTAAATGGATCCGTTTGCGAATCATAATCTAAGCTGTTGCTGCCATCTGCCTGCCATTTGTAGTACGTGTTGGTGGCATTATCACTCGGATGATGGTCTAATGCCGAACTATCCGGCGTCGGAGTCTTCTTGCGTTTCGTAAATGTGCTGAACTTTTCCAAAACTTTGGATTTCTTTGATTTCTTCTCCAACGTTGAGGTGTTCGAATGGAGGCCGCTATTTTCGTTCTGCTGTTGTTGCTCGTCATCCAAAATGAACGTGCCACTGCGATTCAAGACGGAATCAGCACCAGATTCCACAGAGTCGCGTCTTTTGTTGCTGCTTAAGCCGCTTATGACACTGCCAGGGCGAGATGTACGAACGGGAGTGGTATCGCGTGACGAAGACCGACCACGGGTGATGGATGAGCGTAAATTACGAAAGAATGACATGTTGGGTTACGCATCAACACAACTCAAAACGCTTTGTGTGTCTGTTTGGCTTTACAAGAAGCTTCACTTCACTTTTGTTTTTCTTTTTTTTATTTTTAATTTTATTTTCACGTTTTCTTGGGGAATTGTTTAGTTCGCCATAGGCCGAAAGGGGGAAGCGTATGTTTAACCTTCACGTTCTTTGCTAATGGCTTTAATGATCGGCCATCAAATCACTTGAATGTTTTGATAATTTTTTTCGTTTTGTTTTTGTTGTTACTGTGACTAAACGCACCCATTTAGTTGTAGTAGGGCTATTATTGGGGGATTTCCTTTAATTTTTATTTTTTTCTCAAAAAAAAAAAAAAAAAAATGAAATCAATGATTAATTGAATATCTGTTTGTTTTATATTTCGCGGTAAATTATCATAAAAAGTTGTTTTATTTTTTTGTTTAAACATGCAATTCAACAATAAAAACAAAAAACACTCTAAAGTGATCTTGACAAAGGCAACACAACTGAATTCTAAATTCACGGATTTTATCTTTTTTTGTTTGTTTTTGTTTTCGTTTGGGCGTTCGACAACCGTTCAAGTCTAACTTAACGCGACAACTGTTTCCCATCAACTGAGCGGCATTCATTGAGCGAGCGAATGCTAACGGCAGCAGCAGCAGCCAACTTTGGCTAGCTCAGATCCCCAAAACGCCACCACAGAAGCACCAATAACAAAAAATACTCCAAAGTAGAAAAAAAGACTGAATTTGATTTCGCTGGATATGAGCGTTTAGAAGTTTCAATGGTGCAACAGTATGCGGAGAGCTCGGTACGGACGAGAGTATGAGCCGGCAATTTTAGGAGTACAAGGCAAGTATTTGTTGTTGTTATTTGTTTGTTCATTTGTTACCACCGGCACGAGTGTTAATTACAGTGAAAATGTTTTTTTTTTCTGTTGTGTTTTTGTAAACATTTACACTGTCACTACTGAGTACCGCTCGACCAACCGACCGGACAATTGCTCATTGCGAGAGCTGACGCAGTATCTTGTTTTGACCATTTGTTGTTGTTATTGTTGTAAAGTTTTGTGAACTTTATTATCATCAGTTTCGTCGCACAATTTAAGTACAAGGTATAACTCATACGTAGCATATTGATATATTAGAGTGGGTCGAAAAACAATTCTATCATCATGGTCAAATATAATGTATATAAAATTTTAGAAACTTGGCAGCGTTTTGGAGCTTTGTATACGTGTAGAAATATAGACATACCAGTCCATATAGACATACCAGTGCATTTTTTTTTATCGTATATGAAGTATTCATTATGAGCTTGATGCGATTATATTGTAAAGTTCTGGATGGCATTGGCTTGGCAACTCTCAGCATACTTATCAAGGGTGCACTGCTGGTGTCATAAGCCTATGTTGAGTTCATTATGGAACGTTCAACCTTAAAGGTATTGGTGCGTTTGACTGTTGATCGGGTTGCAGAATTTTCGTATTGATGATCGGGCACCTGGTTTACAGTTGTAATTTTCAAATACCAAAAAATCTGTACCATTTTCTTTAGATATGCACTGGTTCCACTTCTACAAACCATGCAGGATTGTGTGATTCATGTTTTTGAATATTAATTTGGCTATAAATTTGCTATTTCAGGATATCAAATGGTAAAAGACTTCATTCCAATAAAGGCCCATTTTTAGATCCCATTATAAATTTTGAATCCCATTATATAACCATGTTTCCGCCAACAGAGAGGAGAACTGAATGCTATCGGACGCGTATACGGGTTGCGGAAGCCCAATAAAATTTATTGGGTAGCTGCGAACAATCAGCGAATCTTGGAGGGGAACTCTGATAAAATGATCGAGTGACTATGATATCAAGATAGACGAGGCGAGAATAGCGCCCCTAATTATCCATCTCCTAGGTCTTAGATTATCTTCTTCCTAAAGTTCACAAACACTAACCAATGTTAGTGTAACTACATGGGTACCCTCAGTATTCAACTGTACAAGATCAGATTTAAATTGAACGTACCTCCGGACCTTTTTTATATTCCTAACATTAATAGTCTCGATGACATAAACGCGAGTCTTCTCTGGCTGCTTCCGATTCATATCTGATACGATTAACCCTTGACGTACGAGGAAGACGCTATGGACAACACTGTGACTCCTCTAAATCAAGGTGATTCATCAAGGGCGAATAATGGAGGCCCACCTCCTTGGCAGGCAGTGTTTCATCGAACGGTACAAGAATTCGATTACCGATATGGAATTTCTTCTGATTAAGAAAAATTTCAAATTTGTTCGAAAGGTTTCTCGCAACCATCCGATTGACATTGCGAGGGGCTTCTTAATTGAGTTGGGAAATCTAGTTCACGTAGCGGATCTATCTTTTTTTTCCTTTTTAATAGGGAACTAGTTCCTTAATGTAGTTCCTTTGTTCCATATAGTTCCTATACTCCATACAGTTCCTTTGCTCCATATAGTTCCCACTCCTAGATAGTTGCTTTGAATCTCCCTCTTTCATCGTTCTTTTTTCTCACCTCCCTGCTGATTTGTAAATAGATGAGAACATTTTTTGTGGAAAAACGAAATTATTTTAAATAATTTCTATTTAGTAGAATATTTAGAAGCTACAGAATTCAACTGCAGGACGATAAGCACAAAATATTTTAATAAATAAATAAAAATATTTCAAATAAACAAAATAGTTTTACTATTTACACAATAATAAATTGATGTGCGAACGAGAACGAATGAAGAACATGGGAATAAAGGAACGATATCAGTGAAAGGAACGAAATTAGTAAAAGGAACGAGATCAATGAAAGGAACGAGGCCAGAAAAAGAACGAGATCAAAAAGGAACGAGATCAAAAAAGGAACGAGATCAGAAAAAGGAACTATATTAGTTAAAGAGCTGGAACTAGTTCCGATCGGAATAGATCCAATGAACTAGTTCGTTCCGGAACTACCCAACTCTCCCACTTAATCAAAAACATTCCTACGTCGCATGTGTAAAACGTCGAATTAGAAACTAGAACGATCAGCGACTTTAATTTATTATAAAAAATTAATCTTCACCAGTTTTGATCCTTTGTAGCTGATCTGGGATGTTCCTGACTTAGCTGTACAATAAGGTATGTTCTATTGTTTTAGAAACTGTAGCAAAACTGACAGTAGAGTTTCCCTGATACGTCCGGGGACGTGAAATTTATAGCAACAATTTTCATACTAATGCAAAATGACGTGTATGCTATAGCATTCATATTTTAAAACAGAGTTTTATTATTTTTTTCCATCCATACCTATCGGAATAAATTTCGAATATAAATATATATAATAAAAATACAAAAAATATAAATAAAGATGAAGATAAAAAGATGAAACCTTTTCGCTTGCTAGGCGTACGAAAGGTCAAACGTACAATCTCAATTTTGCATCAATGTATTACCAGTGCGACCCCATCTAATACACACTCGCTTTAAATTAATATGTGAGCGTTTACTTGTACTCGTATATCAAAATAAAAATATTCTATGATGTACACTTTTTACTTTTTTTAGACCAAAAAAAAAGGTTGTTTCAAGTGTTATTTTTTAATGTTTTTTTCTTTCCATTTTTGCTGTTTGTTTTGCTTTTGTTGTTGCTGTCTGATTTCGTCATTAGCCTACGATCAATTCGTGTTTTATTTTTGAAACAACTTGGAATGGATTCGAGCTAAAAAAAATGAACACAGAACAGGTTATTGCTATGTTGTTGAGAAGAAAGGAAAATTCACCGCCCAATGATGTGCCAAACAATTCCATTCCAATTCATGTTTGTTAAAATCTTAACTTTTTATATATGTATATTTATTTGACTGTGATGAAAGGCACACGAATTTAAATATTTCACACAATTAATTCAGAAAAATTTAAATAATATTTGATTTGGAAAATAATCTGCAAAAAAATTGAATTGTTAAGTGATTCTAACACCCTTTACTTTGGGTTTTCAAAAAAAAAAAAAAAAAATGTGTTAATTACAAGTCACAATTCTGCCTCCAGGTGCATGACTTCATTCGAACATAATGATAATTTAAGATGAATGTGAAAGTCGAATAAAAATAGTCAAATAAAGTCAAAGAATTGAATATCTGTATGGTATAAATTCGAATATGAAAAAAAAATAGCCAACATACATTTTATTTTTTAAAGAAGAATTATATTAAAATGTTGATATTCAATTTTTAATAGCTTGCATGTATTTCTGTGAGAAAAATACTGCATTTCTCGATATGTCAATTAAAGTCGAAAATGTCTTACCAGGAAGAGGTGTTTTATTACACTGTGCGACAAATTTCAATTTTTGTTAATTACCGGGATACTCCAACAGATTATGAAAGAGGGCCTAAAAAAGAAGACACGTATATCGACGTTTTGAAAGTTTACGTCGAGGGTAATCTAAAAAGGGGGGGGACAATAATTTTGGTAATTTTCGAATTATGATTTCTTGAAATCCTTGCATTTTAGGTATACAGTGTCTTCGGCAATATTACTGATAAAATAACGAGGAATATTTTGGTATACAACTTTAACCCTCAACCCACACATTGAAGGGGTCTTTTTGGTCCCCTTTTCCAGAATTGATTGAAAACTCATTCAAAACGGGGTTAAAGGTGCTCAGAATATTCTACAGAAATGTTCGCCATAATGTTTTACTATAAGTCTCAGAATAGATTAAAACTCAAAAATCAGCCTAAACTTCAAAAATCTTAAAAAAACAAGTAATCATTTAAAATCGGAATAAGGAACAAAACTATTCTCCATCAATTTTTAGCATCCTGTAACTCACATCTGAATGCACGAAAAAACAGCAAAATATTTTTTTTACTGCGAAATGTCACCCTTCCAACGAGCATAAATCTGGAATTGTTTGATCGATACTTTACGAGAAATCTATCAGTACAGGCATCTAGGGAAAGGTACCATTAGAAGTTGTCTTATATTCCAACTATTGGGATTTTATGTAGGTTTTGGTAC